GGGGGGGGGGGGGGGGGGGGGAAGAAAACCTGAAAAAAAAATCCCATACCAACATAGGGAGAATTTGTGAACTCCACACACGTGGAGCCATGGAAGAAACTCAAACCCCAACAGTGCTAACCACAACAGCACTCTATTTCATTGTTTAAAAAAAAAAAACAACTTGTTAATCCATGCTCTTCCCAGGTTTTTAAATGAGTAAAAGTAGTTTAAAAAATGCATTTTGCAGGGTGAACTTTGACCTTAAAGGAATTTTGATTTTTCCATACCATGGAGAAGTACTTTTTTTGAGCTTCCCATTGAGCTGCAGCTGAGCCTCTGAATTATAGGACGTATTATTTTGCTACCCACTGTGTAGAAAAGGTGCTGTATGTCAAAGGAAAAATTTGAACTAAACAAGCAAATCGCACTGGAAGGTATGAGTAAGTCACATGGCAAATTTCATCAGATTCAAAAAGGGTGATGCAACAAAATTAAAAATGCTGCCATCGCTAATTACGTTAATTTTCATTGTACACCCATTACACAGACTCTGGTCCAATACAACCAGAAAGTTAAAGCCAGTAAAGCCAGGTAATACAGTAACTACGCTACACACATGTCCACCATAGTCGAGGACCATGCAAGCAGACAGTTCAGCTGTGCACAACCCAGGCAGCGGCACGTGAAGCCAGGACTTACTTCAGGGGTACTACAGCCGTACTACAGCCACGAACCTCCTACGTTTGGAACCTGCATTTCAAGTCAAGTTATTTTTTTCCACAGAAAAACACGCCAACAGCCTGCCACTCCTCCAACTCCACTTCTCAGACTCACCTGGATTACATTTGTAAAACTAACCCTAAAGGCCACCCAGCCATTGCACAATAAAAACGTGCTTCACTAAAATTACCTACTATGGGTGCAAAGAGCTCGTGCTACCTGACAGGTCTTTGCGATACCATCCCGAAATCTGACAGCAGATAAAAGCCTACTCGATTTCTCTCTTTGAAAACAAGGGGGGGAGAAATACATTATATGCAGAAGGGAAACACACACAAGTATGGTCCAGACCAGGCTTGGGAAGGAAGAATGGAAAAGGCTGCCTCACAGGATACTGGCAGTCGCCTCTGGGCTTGAACGAGCTTGTCGAAAACAATAGACCTGAACAGCACCTCAAGACCTGGCAGCCGTTTGAGCAGATCACGCTTCCTGAGTTCCTGTAGGGCTGAAAACACGGCATCGAGTTCACAAGAGGCGCACGGCAGACGCCGGGGTCGTGCAGCTCGAGAGCCATTCAGCAACTCGCCCTTAAAAACTGTGTGCGCCAAAAGAACACTTCACTGCTTTGGCACCCCCCCCATTCCATCGGTAAAAGCTGCTCATTTAAACACCCCAGGGTTTATTACTTTGGTCTGTCCCAGCAGCACTCAGGAGAATAACAACAAAGAAACATAAGGGATCAGGGAACAGCTGGCAAATAAGAAAAACATCAAATACACGTGAGCACCCACGGCCCCCTTCCTGCAGAGGGGCAGATGTGTTGCTGACCTAGTTTACCAGCAGTGGGGCCAGATTCTACACTCAGATCCAGGTACATCCAGGAAACGTGAACTAGGACCTGCAATTTGGCCAGTATAGGATTCTCCTTTTTCCATATAGATAGAGCTGCGTGCCAAAGCACCAAGCAGGAGGTTTTGACCGGTTTTAGTTAAAAGTAGGTTTGGTGCCCGCAAATGCACTGTGGGGCCTAACATCCTACTCAAAGCAGCAGTCCTGGGGAGGTCTAGAAAACAGAATCGCTGCCAAATAGAATGCGCTTTCCATGTTTATACACCCTTTCAGCAGGACACAGGGTTTACATGCTGTAGAACTAGTGGGAATCTTAAAGGCACAGCACGCGCCTCTGTCTGAATGCATCTGCTGCTCTTCTTTTCCGACGCTTGTGTAAAAAATACTGGGACTGGTTAGCAGCCATGTCCAGGAAGCTTTTTTTCCCACCCATTCTTTACATTCGGTCCAGAGGAATGTTCGGCAATGGGAACAGCAACTGGCCGGTGATTTTACCCATGGCCAAATTCCAGACACAGTATTCAGAAATGAGGAAACGCAGTGGTAAAGAAGTTTCTTCAAAGGCTCGACTAGGTTTAGGATTTGCAGAGCAGAAGGGGTTTAGAAGAGCTCACATGGGCCATTGTGAATAGTTATTCGAGCAGATGGTGAATTGATGACTTGGACTTCGACAGAACAAACAATTCAGCTTCTTAATAAGACAGATCGAATTTGCTAGGTGATTACTGTGGCACATGGCCTCATGTGCAGTGGGCTTGTACTTTCTGTACTCTGGACTGATATGGAACACAGCCAGACCAGCACATTCACTGGAAAGAAATGCTGTGAAGCTACCATTCCCGTAAGATAAAATTTACCACTGCTAGGCTGGGAATTCGAGCAAGTTTAGTCAAAGGGTTGTTGGTGTATGACTAGTAGGCTTGGGCAATATGTAGAATTATGGTATATCCTGGTAATAATCCCAAAGGTATTATTTTTAATACCATCAAAAATACAGACGGTCCTCTTTTTATGCAAACATGGAGCTACATGCAGAAAGCCAGTTACATATTTTGTTTGCTTACATGTTACAGGTTTGCCCATAAGGATGTCCATTGCATTCATTTGATTTTCATTATACACAGAATATTTCTGAACATAATGTATGTGAATAAAGTTCTGAAACTAAGAACTTGCAGCTGTTTATTTTTTTACTGATGGAAAATACAAATATAAAATGAAATGAATTTATTACAACAAGGAAAATAGCCAACAGAAGAATAATTTGGAAGTTGAAAAGAAATTATAGTATACTAATATGTAAAGGACTAATAAGTGGCTTGTTTTAGATTCCGATTGCGTTCTCACTGGTCTAATCTTTGGCCTTGTAAAATCATACTGACCAATATTATCAGTCACCATCTCTTTGGCTCCAAATCTGTTTCAGTATTGGACATATCTGTCATATTACATAACTGTCCTGTTAAATGCTGAGTAAGTATACTGTCACTGCATGTCCCTGCAAAATACTGCTCTTAGTCACCTTGAAAATGAATTTACCTGACAAACTGGAGAAACACCTGTTACTTACAATCGTCTAAGCCAAAGCATTTTCGGTTGACACTAACTTAAAGGTTTCGCCTTCTACGGTTTCTGGTGGTAGTTATTTAATAAGTGTCTATTGCCCAGTAGCTTCAACTGTGTTTGATCTTGATAAAACAAAATTCTGGGGGGGGAAAAAAAAAATAGTACCTTTTTGGGCTTTCCAATATAAACTGAGCCATGTATGTGTAATATAAAAAATGGTTAAAGATCATAAAAAAAACCCACTCTGAATTGGATATTTTTGGTACCTGTGGTGTAGAACAGGCACTATCATCTCAAAAGGGATAATTAAAAAAAGCCAAAGAACATTTCATAAAAACCAAATATGCTTATGCAGAAACCTTTTTGGAAATTAGTTGAATTAAACATGGAATGATCCCACCACAATGATGGACTGCATTACTGCAAAGCCTAAGATGCATGTTATGTCTTCTAGCATCTTGAAGAGTTTAATATTTTATGCTGACCAGTTGTCTTCACTGAGTGCAGCAGCATTTTTGCATAAGTAATTTTAAAAAATTATACATTTTACATGGCTGCAAGTCAAACTTTGATTTTCCTTTGTGCAGTTTCTTCAAGTAAAAGAAACCCAATAACTAAATTAAAAGACACAGCAACTTTTAATTTGATCAGTGTGTTATGTCTACAATTTGCATTTAAAATTACCAGTCAGTAACTCTACAATGCCTGGCGGTATGCGAAAAATGCCATTGTTTGTCCTATGATATCCAATTACAAATTTACAATTGATTTATCGGCCATTCAATCAAGCTGATTAACCACAGTCTGCGACAGACTGTGTCAGATCAAATGAGAACTGCTGAGCTTTGCGAGGTTAAGGGTCTGTCCTAAGGTGTTTCGTTGGAGAGCTTCTGCAGTCCAAAGTTCAGCAAAGCTGTAAATGTTCTCCACGTCACGGTGCCACAGGCCAGGATGGCGTACAGTCATGACCGATGCAACACCCACTGTGGACTGAGGCACGAAACAGACTACCAACCTGGCTCGTCATAAATGCTGTTAGTACTATTTACCCAGTGTTTTTAGGAGCAAATCAGGTCACATAATTTGGAAATGAGCCTATTCAAAGTGATTTCACCCATCAGCATCCAGGTTGCAAAGCCCTCTTCCACCATCTTCATTGCCCACAGAAATCAGGTTGTGTTGTGAAACACCAAAGCCCACTCAAACTACAGGTATACATTAAACACAGGATCATTAACTACTAGCACCCAACCCCCACTCCACCCTCCCAGGAGGTCTAATCAGTCCCCATATTTCCCAACCCTCTTCAGAATGGACCTTCCATCTCTAATGGCAAGTTATTACTATTAGACAGCAATTTCCTTAAGGACCCTCCATCAGTCCCGCTGCTGTTTAACGTTCCTGAATTTCTCTCTAAGGAATTACACACAAAAAAAAAAATGCTGTTTAACAAAATGACACGGAGTCTGTAAAAGCTGTTTGCCTGACGGCGTGCACATGGGTAGAGTAACTGCATCACTCCATAAACCAGTATTTGCAGTTTTTTTTTTTGTTTGCTTAGAGATGTGGCATAAAACAGAGACACCTATCAAAGCAGGTCTCAAACCCTTACCTTCAAAAAATAAGCGCAGAATTAACCGGCCAAAAACATTCGAAATAATGAAGCAGATATACATTATGGAAGCATGATTACTACCATCAACCTGGGTAACGTCATAACTGGTACTGTTACTAAAGTGCCCAAGAGTTAAGTTATAAGTGACTGGTTGTCCAAATCAGTACTAATTTAAGAAATTCACGCATCAATCACCGGCTGCGCAGTCAGTCAGTTTAACTGGTTTGATCACCAACAACAAAATCGCAACTTATAACAAAAGCGGCGTGACTAGTGAAAGTACTCATCCATCTACCATCTTAATGTTCGGGTTCTTCTCCACTAAACGCAAACATAAGGTGAAAAGAAAATTAACCGAGGTACCATTCTCACAGCGATCGTCAATGCGGTCGGGCAGCTAACTAGCTAACTCGCCCGTTCATGAGGACCCCATGTCTTGGCGTCGGTAAGGTGGACAGTAACGGTTACTTACGATGATCTCCCGGACTCGGTCGTGGAATATCTGCTCCCTGACCGACACGTCGTCTGCTTCCATCCTCGGACAATCATATCGTGTCGTGTCAAGAAGAGAGTGATTAAACAACAAGGGAGACGCGGATCAAAAGGCCACCCCGCTGTTCGCGCTGAAGCCAACGTGCTTCCAGCGGTTGTGGGGAGACTGAGGGTTTTCAAAAATGCTTCTCACAATATTACAGGCGGCGGGGGCGGGGCGAGGGCGGGGTTTGGGAAAGAGCTGGGCGTGGCATTATGTAAAGACTAAGAGGGATAAAGGCGGCCACTCTGTGACGTACATCAATATTGGGTGTGGCCAGATGGTGGTATGGGCGGGGCTTGGGAAATAAATAAATTAAAATTATAGTTGTGTTTTGAAGGAAGTTGAGAATATTAATATTTTGATTGAAGATGTCTTTAGAAATGATGGACAGCAGAACTTTATGTTGAAAAAAGAACTATGTATAATGATGCATAAAATAAAGTTAAAAAGCAAAATAGCTTCATTTGATAATATTGATGTTGTGCTATTATTGGATTAAAACTTTGAAATACTTTGCTGTCAGTCATGTACAGAGTAGAAGAGTGTCGGGTCTTACTGAACACCGCACAAGAGAATCCAGTCAAGACCATGAAGAGTTGTCGATTGTTAGGGTTGTGATTCTTATCAATATCTTGGTGGTACCTTGTTTATTCCAGTGAAAAATACTGAACTGGGCTGTATTACTGGCTGGGCGATTGCAGTTACTATTTCCAAACCTGTAAAAAAAAAACTGTATTCTGTTTATTATCCACCGTTATCCCACGTTTTACAATAGGACTGTTTAATCGTTAGAGGAACTAGCTAAAGGGCTGGAAGCATTCGAGTGTTGACTTGTGCAGTTTACAATTAAGATACAAAGTCCAAATGCAGTGAAAAGTACTCTCAGAAACATTTGCGGGAGAGTTGGAGGTAAGCTTTAATGCTATGTATGTTTATGTGTGCGTGTATGTATATTATATAGAGAGATTATAGAGAGAGAGAGAGTAAGAGAGAGTTGCATTTCATCAAATGTTAAGATAGCACGTACAGAGCTTGTATGGTGATTATAAAGAGCCTACATCGCGATCTGTAAGTTTATTCGAAATGACTAACTCTGCTTCCCAGCTGAAAAAAAATCATCAGAAACCATTAGGAAAATATAAGATAGTTTCCATTACAAAATATTCCCAACGGGAACTGGGCTAGTAGTTTCCATTAGTTCCTTCCATCAGGTTGAATTAACATTTTCATCAGGATTTAAAGGTTCTTACTGGTCTAAATAGTTTTCTAAACTAGTTTCCATTAACCAACTTTCCATCAGGATTTGATGGGACTACTGGTTTACAATAGTTTATGCTATTAATGGTTTGAAATTAGGTTCCTACTGGTGGGCAGTGGTGGCTTAATAATGGTTAGGGAAGCACACTAGTAATTGAAAGGCACCACTGAGGTACCCTGAGAAAGGTACCACCCCCTGCTATGTCACGACATCACATTTGGGTTAAATGCAGAGGACACATTTCATTGTTGTGTGCCGTGGTGTGTCAACACTGATCACTAAATTCTAATTCTACTGGTACAATACAAGGGACTATTAATAAATAAAAGAATAATTAGGAACTACAGATAATCATCATGAAGCAAAATCACAGGCCAAACCCATCAGAATACCATTAAAGAGAATCAGAAACCAGCAGGACTCGGCAGAAGATTTCCCTATGGATTAATTTATGTAAAACAACAGGGTCCATTAGAAACACTACATACCATTAAGATACCATTATAAACTACTAGGAAAATATTAAATTCCAGTATAAACCACCAGAAATGCTTAATGGTTTCTAATGATTTTTTCAGCAGGGGTGAACTTTATTATCCCCTTTAATTAAACAGTGCAACAGAATTAAAAAATAAATAAATAAGCAGAGTGTGTTCCAGAATCCAATGACCAGAATTAAGGTGACAAGAAAAAATGGTCATAATTAACTGATCAGACGTATGTAATGATTTATACAATGATTTGTACAGTACCAATATGTAAATAAATATTATAAGCATGATTACTACCATAATGGGATGACAGCCAGCACTGTAAACCAAAACCTTATTTCAAACCATTAAAATAAACCATTTACAATAAATCATTGTAAACCAGTAGGAACCATCAAATCCTTATATATTTTTTACATATTAAATCACATTTTTCAGCTAACTCTAAAAGTACATTGAGGCATATTTAGTACAGAATATAGTATATTTACTTATATTAAGTCGTATTAATTGTTGTGCATGTGGTTTGCATTTTCACATGGGTTTCTGTCTGCAGCACAAAGATATGCAGTTATGCTCACTGTTGCCTCTAACTTGCTCAAAGAGGAATTGTATGTGTGTATGAATGTGATCTTGGGTCAACTGGTATCCTATCCAGGGTGTACAGCAGGGTCCTATAGGATATCCACCTTCTGATGACTTATCCCCCCCCCCCATGGTCCTGGCTAGGATAAACAGTTAGATGATGAATTGATGGACTATTGCACAACTTAATTTGCTCCGAAAATAAACAGGTCTTCTATATTTCAACCAACTATCCTAAGCAGGGCCACAGAGCATTATTATTGTAACTTAGATTCTAGACTAGATTCAAGACTTCTTTGTGTGAAGAATGATAATTTTCCTCTGCACTACAGGAAACAGAGAAGCTCACTGGCAAGGATGGGACTGGTTCTTTAAATGAACGACAAGCATTCTGCCATTGGCTGCTGATTCCTTTATGGCCAAAGGACTGCTCATCACATATGCACTATGGGTAATAGGCGGTCCCCTGGGCCTTCACCACCTCTATTTGGGGAGGGATAGCCACGCCTTGCTGTGGCTACTCACCCTGGGAGGCTTCGGAGTGGGATGGATGAGGGAGGTCTTCCGCCTTCCTGCTTACGTCAGTGAAGTAAACCGAGAGGCCGCCGGGGATGGTGTGAGACACCGTAACGCCCGCCCTCCCCCAGTAAGCCCCGTCCGATTTGCTGGCCAGGTCTGCGTGGGGATCTACTTCGGTACGGTGGCCCTGATCGCCCTGAACTCCCTCAACTTCTTCTACCTTTTGGTATTGCCACTTTGCGTGGGTGCTGGGGTGCACCTGGTGTCCTGTGCTGGCAGAGAGACGTCGGACCTGCAGAAGACCCTCACCACCTGCGTCATGACATCGCCGCTGTTTTACGGGAGCAGGCTCTCACCCCTGCCCATCAGCCTGGCTGCGAGCATCACCGCTACCAGGCATCGCAGGTTCAAAGAGCCCCTGGCAGCAAACGAGCCACCTGAACCGCTCGGTAGGCTCAGTCTCCGTTCCCCTTTTTCTGCCCCATGTGTTACCAAAAGCCCAGCTTTAATTTATCATTTGCTATTGGTACCCTATGTGATATCACTTAATAAAAACAATAATAATATATCTGACTTCCATCACACTGTTTATTATGGGGCAGTGGTGGCCTAATGGATTGGGAGGCGCACTTGTGATTGAAAGGTTGCCAATTTGGATCCCCGACCAGCAAAGTACCACTGATGTACCCTGCGTAAGGCACTGCTCCCCGGATGCTGAATTAGCTGCCCCCTGCTATGTCACATATGGGTTAAATACGGGAGACACATTTGGCTGTTGTGTGTCAGCAATGACAATTAATCACTTTCCCTCTATTATCAAAATCTCTTATTAAGCCACAATAAAAGCAAATAACACAGTTATATTCTTTTTTGTGGATCATGTACTCCCTATTATTTATCACTAACCCATTTCTATCTACAATTTCCCTAGGTCCACGTCTGTACCGCCTGGGTCTTGCCTGGCTGGCTTTCTCTGCACCTCTGGGGTACTGCGTCTTTCACAACACGACTGCCACCCTCGGCTACCTGGTGGACTGCGTGTCGGCCATTCTGGATGCGCTGTGGTTCTTCCCCTGGCTCCAGGGGGTGCTGGAATACTTCCTGTTGCTTCCATACAAGGTGCTGCGTGCTCTGACGGGAGCTGGGCTACCAGAGGAAAGCTGGAAGAAGGTGCTGGAGGTCCTGCTTAGAGAGTACAGTCAGCGAGAGAAAGAGGCAATGCAGGTGAATCTATGTGGGAGGCTCTGGAATGTGAGGGCTGACGTATCCCACACATACATTTGTACAGTCTTGCATCTCTTTATATAATCCTGTCAGCATGTGGAGGAAACCTTTAATTTTCCACACCAGACATGCCATCGACTTGAATTGATTAATTTAAGATATGTAACAGATTAAGTTCAAGTTTGGATCAAAATATCTGTCTCGTAAAGTAAAAAACAGCAAATGTAGTCTCTGTATATACTTATTCCAGTGTTAGAGCATGTAGAAGCCCAACGAGTGACTCTCTGAAATAATCCTGTAATTTATGCTTTTATCCATATTTCAAAACTGCTTCTTCAAGGCAAACATTGCAGCCTTTGACATATCCTGGGAAATACTTGACGAGGGAGGGAACATCCACTCCAGGAGAATTTAGATGTAACAGTTCATTTAAACCACGTCTTTGGACTATGGGAGGAGAGTGGAGCGCCACACAGGAGAAAAAAAAATCTATAACACACCCAAGTGTGGTGCAGGGCCACAGCGCCACCTGCTGAGCTACCAAAGTGCTGCAGTTTCTAGAGATGTGCTCTTCTGTTAACGTTTTGCAAAACTCTGGTGTTTCAGGTTTTGTTGGTGAGAGAAGGGTCCACCATGGAGGAGATCACACGCAGTTACAGGGAGTTGGTGAAGGTGTGGCACCCAGATCACAACCCCAGGCAGATGACTGAGGCCCAGCAGATGTTCATTAGGATCCAGGAGGCTTACGAGACACTGACGCAACGACACAAGAAAACCCAGCAAGAATAGAGTTTTAGGCGCCACTTTACAATAAGGCTCCCTTTTGCCACTTGTAAATGGTAGTAACTCATAAATAAAAAGAAACTTGTTTAAAATTGTCTATTAATAATTTACAAAGTGTTACAACCTAATTAATAACCAGATAATAAACCATTCATAAACTCTTTATATGGGTAGCCTAATTGTAAAGTGGCACAGAGTTTTACAGTGTTAATGAAATGCAGGGACCCACTAATCCTGGCAGGCTGATGTACAAAGGTGCACAAATGTAAAATGAACAACCCATTGACTTTTTCAGAAATTGCACATTTCTCTTTATGATGCTAGGACTGGTTATTCAAATACAATTATCTAAGCAATTATTGTGGCATTAACATTTGTTTTCACCCACTCCTGTGTAATAGGACAGCTAAATGGAGCACTCTCTTTTGTTTTTTTAGAAAAAAGGTTTACAGATATCTCTGGTAATATTGTCAAATTGGCAAAAACATATTACATGGATAAAGAAGAAGAGTTAAACTATTCTGTAAAGAGCATTGTGAGTTGAATATGTTAATATAAAATACAGATCAATAACCTGTATAATTTTTGGTTCAAATCTGTATTTCACATGCTGCATTTTCCATTTCTGTGAGTGTGTGTATGTCTGTTTTCATAAAGACACCATGTCATTGACTGTAGAATACTGGGTGGATATCATGGGAATTTATAGCTGCAGTGGCCCATTTCAGGCTCATCAAAGTGTAGTCAGTTGTCCCACCTACTAGATACACATTAATTCACAATTTACAATTGGTTTACCTTTAGAATATTCTGCCATTTACAAATTTTAAAAAAACCCCAACACCAAAAATAATTAAGTAAGTAAAAAACAATCACTTAGATAGCAAATCCTATTAAAATGCATCATGTATAATTTAAATAAAGATATATACATTTATAAATGTAAAAATATACAAAAACATTTAAAACCATAAAATGAAAGTATGATAATAGTGGCAATTGTACTAAATATAGCGTTCAAAATTCTATTGCACATTAAATATATATTTTTTTTATTGTTCCTTTTTTTCTTTGCGACGCTGAATAGGATAAGTAGTTTTAAGACGGATGGATGTTCCTTTGCTTAGCTCATTTAATTACTATTTCAGCAGACTACAGCACATCATCCACTCTGCTGGAAAGACAATCGGCTGCAACCTTCCATCCTTACAGGACCTGTACGAGTCCAGGTCTCTGAAAAGAGCTGGAAGGATTATGGCTGACTCCTCTCACCCTGGTCACAAACTCCTTCGGACTCTCCCCTCTGGCAGAAGGTTGCGGTCCATTGGGACCAAAACATCACGCCATAAGAACAGTTTCTTCCCCACCGAGGCCCGCCTCATCAATAAGGCCAGGAACACTCACTCAATTACTATTTCCCCATCCTAGCTCAAGAATGCACTCTCCTAAATATGTATATATTTCCACTGCTGTATCATATTCCACATACACTGACTATTTATATTTATATTAGTACCTGAACATACTCCATGTATATATATTTATATTTTAACCACCTCATCTCTCGAAGTATGGCACCAACCACCAAAGCAAATTCCTTGTATGTGTGAACGTACTTGGCAATAAACTCGATTCTGATTCTGTAGCACACAAAGAAATCTTTGCTGCCATCTTGCGGTTAGTAAGACGACATGCTGGATTTTTCAATTTTACAGTAATCGGGGCTAGTGTCCAATGCATTTAAATTATTTTAATCACAATATTAATATCACGATTTGGCATATTTTTCCTAGAGAATAACGCCCTTAACTATTATACTTTTTTTTTTTTTTTTTTACAAAATTTAACTTCTGCAAGTCTTATTTTTACTCTTTAATTTATTTATATAATGACTTACAACTAAAACGTATAGAAGAAAGAGAAGATATTTCCTAAGGCGTTTATCGTTTTAATTTCTAAACATTTCACTTCGTAAAATGTAAAATAATTTATCGATACATACGCAAGATCTTATTAAACTGCAGTGCTCTCTCGTTTTCCCACTTGAGCACATCGATGCATTCGACAGTCAGTGCCGATCAGGGCGTCTGCAGTAGGATTAACGGGCCTGTATCCCGGTGTGGGACCGGAAGTTGTCCGGGGTTTCAGGTAAAAGGACCCGGAGATGCTGCCTTCGCCAGAAAAAACAAACGGACAGCCAGAAACGTAAATTCAAAATAAATATCTATAACAGGACCGATTTCAGGTATGAAACGATTGAGGCGCTAGAGTATATTTGCTATAAGTAGCCAGGAGAGAGTATGCATGGGCTGGGAAAGCAGCTAGCTATGTCGAGAAGCAAGCATCGATTTAGAGGCGGCTGCCATAGCAACGGCTGAAAAGAAACATAATTCAACTTTAGGTCGACAACGCAATTAGGCAGCTTTCTGTGGAAAAAAAGCGGTCACGTGTTGCACTAGGCACCCAGAGCGCTCGTGGGCGCTTTCCGTTACGGCTGCTCCGCGAGCCCGTCGCCGGGATGGAGCTCGCGCCAGTCCGCCGGAGCGGACGTCACTCATCCTCTGACAGCTGAAATTTCGGCCGCATTCATTGAAACGTCCCCTGCCGTCTCGCCGCGACGCTGTCGGTGCCGCACGGGCGTCTTCGCGTAAAGCGCCCGCGACATTTCCACTGTTTACACCGCGTTGAGATAAAGTAACGAGCTAACAGGGTACTTTCCTAGAAGGAAACATAGTCTGCAGCCAGACCAGTTGCTTGTAAGTTGAAGGACCATTTCTTCGAATAACTGGCTAATACGTAGCTGACATTTTCAGTGCGGTAAGGGTTTTTTCCCCCCTTTGATCACTTATTTTTTGTTAATGTTACATATGTTACATACCATATGTTTTTGTTATTTCAAGAACAAGACCTCTAACTATTCCGAGTCTTTTTAACCATGCAGCCTTAGTTGTGTGTATCAGGTTTTCCTATACAGTTGTTGGCGTTCTGCGTGTGGTGTAACTAATTTAAAGATCGATTAATCAGTGTTATCAGACTGATTAATTATTATCAATTAAATGTAACAAACGCATACTGCTGCCGTTTGTACACCAATGATATCCTAACTGCCAGCTGTGTTTAGTGATTCACTGTGATTTTTCCCCCCCCTCAATTTTTGATTTCTCTTGTCATTTTAAAAAGAATACGTTTTAATGTTTTGTTTTGTGGGAAGACAAAGAAAAAATATCAGATTTATACTGGTGTTATTGATGATATTCTAAAAGAAATTAGAAATTTATTGAATGAGCTGCTACTTTACCTGTCTCATTTTCGTCATTAACTGCCTTGAAGATAATAACGTACACATTTATTTTAAGGAAATCCTAAAATTATATTCGCAAGCACGGTTAGGGTACAGCTTAACTATCCAATACAGTTTTCAGTCAGTCAGTCGGTCTGTTAGGGTCTGATCCTCCTATGTCTTGTCATGTCTTCATTCACTTCCAAAACTTGTAGGCTTCCAAGTCTGCAAGGATAGAATGTTTGTCATTCTTCTTATAAAAATTTTAGGCCTCTGTGCCCAGAGGAATCTGGCACATATTGTTCCTACACCATCTTTCTGATCGGTATAGCTGTTCGCAGTATGACCCCAATCTTGTTTGGCAGATTTGTATTGGAGTTGCTCATGAAAGGTTTTCTTGCAGTGGGGAGTGGGAGAACAGTCCTCCAAAAATCTCAAAACACCATTTTTGCATTTTTAAAAGCATTAAGGCTTACAGGGCTAACCCACCATAAGGTTTGATATTGTTCATGTAAAGTTATACATTTACTGTTCAGTTTTCTGATTGTCTGTCCAAATTTGGTTTGATATAGAAATCAGTGCACAATTGTAACGTGTGTGAGATTATTTTAAGTCTCATACAACTTAACATCGCTATGTAATGCTCTCATTTTATGTGGCATTTATATCGTGGCATGTTTCCAAAGAGACAGTCAAAATCGGCTTGTCAGCTTGTGAACCAGCATCAGTGTTGTGAAAAAGGAGTTACTCTAGTTCATAAAAGTATAATGAATGCTTTGTGGTTGAATGTAAGGCTGTTTTTACACATGTATTTGTTTCCTGGTGCATATATGAACATGAATGAAATGCATCAAGATGAGGTGAATCTTATTTTAACCATCTCAAGCACATCCCAAGAATGTTATACGAGATCACATTTACTGTTGTGCTTATTGTTGAACCATTGGAGCTCAGAAGCCTTGTTCTGTTTGTTTTCTGTTCACATATTTATCAGTCTGTTCTTGTTCGTCTGCAAGATTTACCCATAGACTTTTTGTCATTTAATTTCTAGCTCATCCCTTTCCACTGTTTCCCCAGTCTCTTCTTCCTTGTGTGTCTATTGATTGTTACACCTTCTCTGTGCCGGTGCGTTTTTGGTCCTTGGGGTTAGGGTGAAGAGTGTGAGAGCTGGGGGTGGAATGACTTAGTGTCTCGTTCATGTATTTAAGATGGAAGAAAAAAAACGAGTGTGTCCGTTGTCGTCGGATGCAACGTAGATTTGGGCATATAAAAGGATCGCGTCAGCAAAAGTGCGCACAGAAAAAGAAAGGAGAACAGAAGCTGCAGAAGATTTAGGGAGGAGTTTGCTTTCTGTGGTAGGGGTCTCTTGTTTAACACAGCAATGCACGGTTCACTTGGAATGGATGTTCGAACTCTTTGTGTACTGTGAATCTCCAGCCCGTATCGATAATGTGGATGTGGCTGGAAAGCTGAGTTAGATATAACTGCAGCTGAGTGATGAACTAAGCTTCTGAAGGTTAGGACTCTTGGGGAAAATTGAGACTCTGACTTAAGTGTTTGTGTTCCTATGTCCTCTGCTTAGATGGTGTGAGAATGAATGCTGATGACTGCAATGGCCGTTCCTATATGTCAGGTAATAAAAGTAAAACTGTAAAAAGTACGTTTTTGTTGTACCTGAATTGATTTGGCATAAAGTAACATGTCCAATGAGTTCATAGCAGCGTGGTTCATTCTACTGTGTGTGTGTTTGTGTAGGGAGTGGAGACTCATCGATGGAGAGGGACTTCTCTGGAGGCATGGGGGGGGCTACAGTTAGCACACCCAACAGTCAACACTCTTCTCCCAGCCGGTCCCTCAGCGGTGAGTAAATACTTACCTGTCTGTACAAATACTGATAGGTATTACATACTGAGGCTGCTGCTATATTCACATTGAACCCTAGTTTCTCTAGCGATGCTCACCCGGGTTTTTTTGCTCACTGTGTCACAGGCCACTCTGTCTCTCTCCACAGCCAACTCCATCAAGGTAGAGCTGTACAACGATGACCAGCTGGGCTGCATAGCTCGTCCGGCCAAGAGGGCAGGGGAGCGTGACGAGGCATGGAAGGACGAGCGACTGGACCCTGTGGAGGGGGGGGGCCTGGAGCTGGGCGGCGTGGCTGGCGGGGGGGCAGGCGGCGGCGGAAGCTATGGCGAGCTGGCCAGTCCTGAGCCCACTTCCCCAGGGCCAATCCGGCTTCCCAATGGAAAGCTGAAGTGTGACATTTGTGGCATGGTGTGCATCGGGCCCAACGTTCTGATGGTGCACAAGCGCAGCCACACCGGTGAGCAGTGGAAAAATCAGCCGGAATGTTCCATTAGGCTCGTTTTCTGTTTTGTCTGTGTGACGACGTGCAACTTCACCTTTTTCGTGTCACGTGGCAGAAAAATTCTGCCAAGTTACTGGTATGTTACCTTTGGGATGTGGTAACGCATGGCTGGTTAGCCTTGGCAAATGTCCTGCATGATTTACTCGACTTCCCAGTTTAGCCAGTTGAGACGGACTTCTCTTTTAGCTGTTATGCAACTTGATTTCCCACTTTAGCTTCACATTTAAGTCATTTTTAAAGTAAAGTGCAGTGGAAATGTCTCCCTTTGGAATTCATCCTGGGACATAGATGGCTAACTTCAGACTTTGTTGTGGGGCTATTAAGTATTAGCATTTAAAGGATAGCTGTATCACAGTGGGGCTAAACTAATCTGAGATCAAATCATGTAACATTCATTTATGTCTGGTCAGTACAAGTTGGCTGAAACAGGGTATTTAATGATTTTTTTTTCAGTCTGCATAACATGGAAAGTTCCTAAGTTCTCCTTACATAAAGGAGGCAAAAATTCCATAGCTTTCTGTTCTGGAAAGTTTTATCTAGTTTGGGGAAGTTTCCAAGCTGTCAGGATGTTCACAGAGAGATAGAGGAAGATTTCTAACTTGCAGTTTGTAGACAAAGGGTTCAGAAAAGAGGAAGAGCTGGGAAGTACCTACATAAGTCATTAATGCCATGCTGCTTCACAGGGATCACTTCAGCATGAGCTGTGCATATTGTGGAGACCCTTTGATATTATTGGCACCCCCCCCCCCCCAAGATAAAAGTCCTGTAGTAAATCATTGCTAATCAGACTGTACTTGAATATATTTGTTTGAAAGCATGCTAAGCTTTGAAGAGCTCTGTGTTTGTCTGGGCATAGTTGAGCCCCCCCATTTTTTCTCTACGCAGTGAATGTGACCATACCCGTAAGCTCTCATTGTGACACCCACAGCCCTGTGTGCCATGCCAGGTGAGCGCCCATTCCAGTGTAACCAGTGCGGCGCCTCCTTCACCCAGAAGGGCAACCTGCTACGGCACATCAAGCTCCACTCTGGGGAGAAGCCCTTCAAGTGCCCCTTCTGCAGCTATGCCTGCCGGCGCCGGGACGCGCTAACGGGACACCTCCGCACCCACTCTGGTGAGGCCACAGTGCCAAGAAGCAGGCCAGCACTCGTACGGGGCAGGGTCTCAACCCCAAGCAGAAACATGATGTGCCAGCAGGGTCTCAGGACTGCTTCAGGCTGTGTGGATGAGTTCATGTACTGTTACTGACATTAGACTGAGTCTGATTTGAAGGGCACAATTGCACAGGTTGGGTTTTTTTGTGTCGTTTTTGATAAGAGAAGAACGAGTGCAATGAATACATCATATTCTGCTGTAGACTTTGGGTTCAGACAAGGTGTTGGTGTGAAAAATGACATTTGCAAGATGATGAAAACAGGAAATCCTGTTGATATTTTTCAGTTGTGTATGAACTGGTACAAATATGTAAAGATGAATTTCTTACGAAACCGGATTCGGTTTGGTGGCTCGCTGACTCCATGCTGGGTGATTTCTCGGCAAGGGGACGGAGCGGAAGTGTGCGGTGGGTCAGGTGCCCCCGTCCCACGTCACTAGCGGGCTGCATGGTTCTGAGCTACTCTTTCTGCTAGGATACGGTACTCCAAAGGTGGACGGAATCGGTTGGTGGCATTCTGTGAGGAGAGTTCTTAGCGAGTAGGGTGGAGGGGTATCGCTTTGTCATTAGTCTGGTTCGTTAGCGTGTCGCTAATAGGTTGAGGGGGGCGTATATGCAGTGTTGCTGATGCTGTCCTCCTGCTGTGCCTCTGTCCTGCAGTGTCCTCCCCCACGGTGGGGAAGCCCTACAAGTGCAGTTACTGCGGCCGCAGCTACAAGCAGCAAAGCACGCTGGAGGGAATCGGTTGGTGGCATTCTGTGAGGAGAGTTCTTAGCGAGTAGGGTGGAGGGGTATCGCTCTGTCATCAGTCTGGTTCGTTAGCGTGTCGCTAATAGGTTGAGGGGGGCGTATATGCAGTGTTGCTGATGCTGTCCTCCTGCTGTGCCTCTGTCCTGCAGTGTCCTCCCCCACGGTGGGGAAGCCCTACAAGTGCAGTTACTGCGGCCGCAGCTACAAGCAGCAAAGCACGCTGGAGGAGCACCGGGAGCGTTGCCATGGCTACCTGCAGAGCCTGGAGGCCCAGCCCACGCCAGGCAGCCACGTACATGGTAAGGAGCCACCTCCGGCTCCTGCGGGGTCAGCGCACGACACCATGGCGACCTGCGTACTGAAGTGCTTCTCTCTATCGGTCCCATCCAATGCAGGTGAGGAGATGCGGGACGTGGAGCTGGTGACAGACCCTCTGCTCCAGCCTTCCACGGACAAGCTGACATTCATCGACCGCCTGGCCAACAGCATCACCAAGCGTAAGAGGTCGACACCTCAGAAGTTTGTGGGTGAGTATCTGTCTGCCTCCAATTTAACACCCTGGGCCAGAAGCCCCTTAGTGTACCTTCAGTGGGCCATGCTGAGCTGCCACAGAGCCGGTCAGCATGACGTCCTCCGTGAGTTTGCTCTCTGTGACTTTGCTCTCTTTGTCTATACAGGACAGAAGCACATGCGCCTCAGCACAGCCGACGGACATTATGAACATTATCCTCCCATCGACAAGGATGGGGATGAGCTGAGCTCCCTGCACAGGACTGCTGACTCCTCCAACTTCACGGGTGTCATTAGCAGCTACCTTGGGGGCCCCGTGGGAGGAGGTGGGGGCCAAGAGTCCATCCGCTCACTCCGGCTGCCCCCCCAGCACCCCGCCAGCGTGCCGGAGTTCACGTCCGTCATCAGCTCCTTTTACAATCAGCTGGGCCAGCCAGGGCAAAGAACAGACTCCGGGGGGGGTGTGGCAGGGGGCGTGGCCTTGGGACTGGGAGGACGGGAGGCAGGGGAGGGCCACGAGGACCTGCCCCCCAGCTGCGGTCATGTCGCCTCTCCGAGCAACGGCTGCCAGGATTCCACAGACACAGAGAGCACGCCGGAAGAGCAGCCCGCGGCCACCAGCGCCGGTGGGGACTCCGAGCAGCACCCAACTCCCCCGGTGGCCCGCAGCTCTGGCCAAGTGCGAGAGAGCGACAGTGAGCCACAGCGGGACGAGGGCAGCGTGGCGCTGCGGCCCGGCAACTGTGAGGTCAGGGTGGTGGACAGCGAGGGCCGGCCAGTGCGCTCCTTTCGCTGCACGCACTGCCGCGTCCTCTTCCTGGACCACGTCATGTTCACCATCCACATGGGCTGCCACGGCTTCCGCCAGCCATTCGAGTGCAACATCTGTGGCCACCGCAGCCAAGACCGCTACGAGTTCTCCTCACACATCGTCCGTGGGGAGCACACTTTGGGCTGAGGTATGGGAGCCGCGGGGTTGGGGGGTGGGGCGGGTAGGGGAACGGTGGTGCGGGCCGGAGGGGAGAGGTGAATGCACAGGGAGGGCAGCACGGGTTCGAAAAGCACTGTGTGTGCAGGAGGTGAGGATGGGTTAGGGTTTGATCTGCACTGAACTGGAGACGGGAACTGAAGAGGAGATGAGCTGTTGTGGGAGAAGTTTAGTCAAGGGATGATCGGCAAATTATAATTGCACTCTATTTTCCAGAATGCAGTTGTTTTGCCTCAGAAGTGCCTTCTTCCTGTGTGGTTTGCCCTCTTTGAAGTGGGGGGGGGGTTGTTGGGGGAGGGGAGGGGAGCATTCGCACAGCACAAACCCACACTTGACCCTGTGTAACGGGCTGTCAGGGACTGGTCATAACCAAGAGTGGTGACTCGGAGGGCAGCTGGATAATTTTCTAGGTCACAGAACTTCTTTTGACAGCCTGAATCTTGGACACAGGATTTAATAATCACACTTTGGGATGGGGGCGGGGGGATGCAGGGTCACTGCCATCCATCTCGCTTCAGCGTTTGTGTGGGCACCAGGGCCCAGTAAGAGTGTGGTCCGCCACTCCTGACTGGGAAGCCAAAAGTCGAAATGGTCAAAGTGGGCGTACGTTGCCTTGCCAGAAGCACCATGTCTACCTAGATCTGCACATCCACAGCATTACGCACATGGCTGTTTTACAGTCTCAGGAGGCTGTCTGTCTATTCTTCACATAATACGCCTGCAGACTTATATTTCTATATAATATTGCAGAGTGTCAAAGGTCTCCCAAAATGGGGAATATCACATATCACAGAATGAGCAGCTCTCATTCAGCACAAGTGAATGTTGAGCTTCAGACCCAGTATACAGAAGCTTTCGTAGACATATGACATGGGAAATCTTGTCTACTCCTTTCCTTCATGGTACTGCTTTAGACTGCACGTCAATGGTGAAGAGCGTCATTGGTCTGGATATTGCACCTTTCCTCACCATCCTCCAGTAGACGGTCATATTTGAGCAGTTCCCATGAAGCTCTCCTTGGAATTGTGAATGTTAAGGTGCAGATCAGATTGAGCCACGTGAAACAAATTGGTTCTTTTGAGGAACCATAGGGGAGGGAGGGTCCCTCTGATAAGGATTTGCACTTTCTAATTTTCCTGCTTTTTCTGTGTGTGTTTTTTGTGCTTTGGGGGGGGGCTTTTTTGACAAAGATGTGATACATTATGACAGACTCTGTGGTGGTGATGATGATTATGATGATGATGATGATGATTGACCCGTGTTCCATGAACACTGGTTTTGCACTGATTTATGCCTATATGGCGTTTAGAAAATAATTTACTGAAGAATGGAATTTGAATGTCAAACATCCAATGTAGATTATTATTATTTTAAATATTTAAATACTCTTTATTAACAAGAGGTCTTAGAGCTCCTAATATTCTGATGTATATTTTATTGTCTCCACTCTTGCTCTCAAAAATACTACATTATAGGGGACATTCCTTTTTAATCTGGCTAAAATGTAGATCTGAATTGGTCAAGGAAACTTGTAATACAGCCAGAAAACACAGAAGATGAAAGCATCATTTCAATGACTCTTTATTTTCAAAGGGTTGATTCCTGGCAAGGAGGGGATGTCCATGTTGTTTATCGTGGAGATACCAGCTAGGCTGGTTATTCCCAGAACTTTATGATTGAATAGTTATGCCACGTTCTTAAAATTCAAGAATAAAAACTATAAGCAAATTATTTATATGACTAACTAAAAAGCATTGAGGAGACCAAATACATTATTTATTACTTGCAAGGTAAAAAAAAAGAAAACTTGGAATTTAGAAATGTAAAGCAAATTGAAAACCAGGAAGTTTTCTTAAATAGTTGTTTTATTATAAATGTGGTAAGATGCACTTAGTCTGTCACAGATATATTTTGAAAGAGAGAAGTGTGTGCGTGTTTTTGTGTGATGGCAAACAGACTGTGTACTTTGGGGAAGGGGTGGGTGTTGCAACATGCGTGTTCAGCTTCATTTCTGCAGCAGATTGTCACCATCTCTTAATCCCAACTAGTGCTGTTTTATTTGGGCTTAAGTTTACTCAAAGCCCTTACAAAGAAAAGACAAGTTTTTATATGAGACAGGAAGCAATGGGTAAATGGAAAAAGAAAGGATTTTAACGTCACTGAAACTGCTTGGGATTTTTTTCGAGTTCCTTGTCTTTAAATATTTGAGGAAAAAATCTATGACAAAGAAAAAACTCTTTACCTCATATTTGTATACATATATAACTGCCTCATGTTTTGGAGAAGTTGTGTAGTTTTGAAAGGTATTGCTTTTTGATTTGGTTTTAAGGGGGAGAAGTGTAACAGTTCTGTTTTGTTAAGTAGTTTTTCATGTCCAATAAATACATTGAATAAAGTACTATTTGTTGTAAAACTGAGGTTGAATTCTTACCTGAATACAGTGACCTTTTTTGGATTTCGTAATTGCTTGTAACTACTCCTAACGTGGTTTACTTTTCATTATTGGTTTAACACTACGGTACCTTTTAAGTTGTTAAACGTACCATAGTATGGTGCTACAAAAACATTAAATCATATCGCACTGAAATTTAACTGTTACATATGGTGTAAGCATGCAAATGATCAATAGTACTATCTAAATTCGATTGTTAATAAACTCACTCTAAAACCTTTACAAAACTACATTTTCTTAAAATTGGAAAAGCATTTAATAGGTTTGGTGCTGAAAATATTAAGCCTATCCTTCATTGTTTTATTTCATTTCAATACCATAAAAATACCAAATTTGTTCTCACTTAAACTTTTTTTGCAGTCTGTGATCGAAAGCTGACGACGTTCAGAGAAAAACTGAAGCCACGTCTTGCCACTCAGACATTCGATGTGAAAGCCGACCCCGAGTAATCATTTAGAAGCTAGTCTATGAAAACAAAAACACCACAGCCATTGCCACCTTGAAATAGGGACTTTGTGTTTTGCTACATTTAGTTTCCATAGCAACAGCAGCTTAGCTTGGGTGAGATTTTGCAATACACCTTACATTAAAAATTTAACAATTTATCACTGAAGAACGTGTCTGGACATTTCACATAAATTTGGAAAGGAATTCTTGTACTATCCTGTATCTCCATTTCTGCTGTAACAGTTTATATAACTCCATGTGTTTCCCTACTGCAATTTAATTTCAGGAAAATAGTGTTGCAAATACATCCATCTAATAGCTTCCCAGTGTTTCCTGTGGATCAAGGTTTGGCTTGGGGGGGGGATGGGTCGAACTATATATTTAATAATATATTATTGTGTAATGACAGCATGTTCACTCTCTATGGAGGTAAAGAAACAGAATTAATATGAATTAATATAGACTACTTTTTTTTCCCAGCGAGTTATAACTACATTTTTTTTTTTTAGCAGTTAATTTAAGTCCTCAACCATTTGCCCATCTCCAATGCTTCACTCAGCAGCATAACAGCCTAACTGTGTATTAGAGTTTCTTTGTGGGCGAGTTTCTCCAAGCATGTGACCCTCTTTCACATACGAAATGCATTAATGTATCTGGGAACAATGGGATATATTTTCATTCCCACTGTCTTTCATAGCAGTAAAGTAATAGATTTTGTGTATTCCCAACCAGTATCAATGTAATAAAAGTGGAAGAGGTCTCCCCCTCCCCCACTATTCGCATTCACGTATCAGAAAGTTACCGCTAATGTCACTAGGTCGCCAGGGGGGTAGATTAACGGGTCAGCATTACCGTGTTGCTTCCATTCCCACACAACACCATGGCGGTAAAGTAGTGCTGTATATTAGCAGGGGGCAGTGTGTGTCAATGGGGGTATCAGGGTGAGGAGAGATTGTTGCCCCCACCTACATGCCTGCTATGTTTACATACTTGGTGTGTTTTTCTTTTCCTTGGAAAATACCTAAGTATGCTCATTTTATAAGAGCATCTGCTAAATGAGGTCATATAGCCTATCAGTGCAGATAACCAACAGAATTCAATAACATGTGCACAGGGGTGGAGGTGGGAATCAGGCATTGGATTAGATGATTGGTTGATTGATGTATTTTTGTTGGCATGGTAGGTCACCATGGAGAGATGTCAGGAGCAGAAACACTGCTTACCCAAGTCAGGGTTGTGGAGGGGTCAGGCAGCAGAGGGCAGAAAAATTTTGTACACCTTGGATGTTAAATTAAGTCCTCGACAGTTTGCCAACTCCAATCTCCATTGCTTCATTTAAGTCCACTGCAGAGCATGTACACAATCACATCTTTCAAATACATATGTGGTGTAACTGACTATTTTTTTTAACGAGTCTTTACTCGCCATGAGACACAGCATAGGGTCAGCCAGCATGTGGTGTCCCTGGAGCTGCGGTTAAGGGCCTTGTTCAAGGTCCCACACACAGCGACTACTCTTAAAAGTAATTAAGCCAAATCCAACATGAAATCAAAGGGTGTAGCCCAAGTTTAACGGAGGTACGAAAGAGGAGCTCCCCAAAATGACTTTACATCCCACCCAGCTGCCAGTTGAGGACACTGCTTCACCTTCTCATGCAAGTGTCTACTGACCGCTAGATGTGTTTAGTCAGACAAATCTCAATGCATCCCCCAATAAAACACAGGAAGGTGTCTCCAATCATGTTTAATGTTGCGTAATCATTATTTACACAATCTTCAAAGCCATCCAGGGTCACATGGGTTTGGGGGGAGCACGAGGGGCACCACCCTATACAAAAGGAAAAAGGGCAACATTTTAATTATCCAAAAGCTAGACTGAAGGCCATTTTCCTGCTCACATAGGACACATACTGTTTGCACTGCTAACATAAGCCACTCTGCTATGCAAACAGGTCACCCACAGTGGACATAATTTATGTGCATGTGAAGGTAACAAAAACTCACACTGGGTCTGAAGCGTGGAGGGGGTGTCCGGTCCTTCCTGGCCTCCCGAGAGCGGTTCCTCACCACCTTACTGTGGATGGCGCAGCTTACGCAATAATGCAGCTTCACGTAGAGCTTGGGCAGAACGTAGGCTGTGCAACAAATGACAAGATTTATTTTAGTGTTAAAGGAATTGGTGGGGTGGAACTTTTGGACATTCCTATGTTTCGAAAATACAAAGCGATATGGTAGAAGGAAGAAAGATGTGGGGATTGAAATCTCACGTTCTACAGCCCCATTTAGAAAAAAGTTGGGAAGCTGTGTAAAATGTGTAAAACCAGAATGCAAAGATTTGCAAATCATGTAAACCTATGTTTAAATGAAAATAGAACAAAGACAACATATTAAATGTTGAAATGGAGAAATTTTGTTTTATGACAAAAATATGCTCAATTTGAATTTGATGCCAGCAACACATTTCAAAGGTGGGACAGGGGCAACAAAAGACTGGAAAAGTTGTGTGATGCTAAAACAAAAACACCTGGTTGAATATCTGACAACTAATTAGGTTAATTGTCAACAGATCAGTAAGATGATTGGGTATCAAAAAAGCCTCCCAGAGAGGGTCTCCGTGCAGTGAAGATGAAGAGGTTCACCACTCTTTGAAAGACTGCGTGGACAAATGATGTAATTCAAGAATAGTGTTCCTCAACCTAATATTGAAAAGTATGTTGGAATTTCATCATCTACGGTACATATCATTGTTAAAAGATTCAGAGAATCTGGAGAAATCTCTGTATGCAAGGGATAAGGCCGAAAACCAGTATTGGATACCCCTGATCTTTGGGTCCTCAAGCAGCACTGCGTTTAAATAACACGATTCTACTGTGGAAATCACTGCCTGGGCTTAGGAACACTTCCAAAAACCACGGTCTGTGAGCACAGTTCATCACTGCATCACAAATGCAGGATGAAACTCTACCATGCAAAGAAGAAACCATATCTAAACATGATCTAGAAAGGCCGCTGGCTTCTCTGGGCCCAAGCTAATTTAAGATGGACTGAGGCAAAATAGAAAATGGTCCTGTGGTCTGACAAATCAAAATTTCAGATTCTTTTAGGGAATCATGGACAATGCGTCGTCCAGGCTAAAGAGGAGAGGGACCATCCAGCTTGTTATCAATGGACAGTTCAAAAGCCAGCATCCGTGATGGTATGGAGGGGACATTGTGCCCATGGCTTAGGTAGTTTGTGCATCTGTGAAGGGACCATAAATGCTGAACAACATATACAGGTTTTGGAGCCACGTATGCTGCCATCCAGATGACGTGTTTTTCAGTGAAGGCCTTGCGAATTTCAGCAAGACAATGCCAAACCACATTCTATGTGTATTACAATAGCAAGGCTCTGCAGTAGAAGAAGCCAGATGCTAGACTCGCCTGCCTGCAGTCCAGACCTGTCACCCATGAAACAAAATATATGACAAAAGGAGATCACGAACTTTTGAGCAGTTGAAATCATATATCAGGCAAGGAATGGGACAACATTTCACTTTCAGAACATCAGCAACTGGTCCCCTCAGTTCCCAAACCCTTACAAAGTGTTGTGTAAAAAAAAGAAAAGAAAAGAGGTGATGCACACAATGGTAAACATGCCCCCGTGGCAACTTTTTTGAAACGTGTTGCTGGCATCATATTCAAATTGAGCAAAATGAGCATATATTTGTCATAAAAAAAATAATTCTCAGTCTAAACATATATGTTATCTTTGTTCTATTTTCAATTCAAATATGGGTTTACTTGATTTGCAAATCATTGTATTCTGCTTTTATATATATTTTATACAGTCACTACTTTTTTGGAAACAGGGTTGTAGGTTGCAAGAATGCTTTCAAACTATTTGGCATATGAAACACAATCGAATTCTGAGAAAAGGCTGTCAAGCTAAAAGGCTTGAGGCCAATTCAATCTTCACCTTTCTGCATGCACTTTCGGTCGCAAACGAGGGTAAGTGATGTAAATATCATCAGGGGCTGGCTGCATGTGTAGCGCAGATGATTCGTGTAGCAGAAACCATGCGTATCCGTGTGCATCGACCATGCATGTGTAAGATAATTGATTAGATTTTTCCAGTAAATGGCAGCACAGACTTCCACAGATCAACAGTCAACAACAAAAGAATAGAGGAAGAATAGTTACTGTGGTAGTATTAGTTATGGTGAGCGGCTGTATGAGGAGTTATCGCCATACCTATTTTTTTTTCCATACTGTTCAGACATTATATAGAGGTATCCGGTGTTTTAAAAAGCAACACTATTCATTTTAAGATATCGGCGATAAAATTCACCGAGCAGAACCAGGGGGAATTCCAGCTAATATTACCATAATGCTACCAAAGCCTCGACTTATAACTTTAAAACTGTTCATAAACAGTTCACCTGTTACACTAGACTGCTTGTATTTGTGCTTGTTGCAATACATCTGCCCTCTCCTGGTCTGGTAGAATATCACTGCTGTATGCATGTACCGACCG